ATGAAAGAACTGCCGGAGTAGATGATCCATAACATCCTTTCCTGCCCCAAACAATAGGCGAGGTTGTTTTTCTATCTATGAAGTGTCTCTGTCTTGAATCAGACGCGTTGGTATTTTCCTCTGCCTTCTGCCAAGTACAATGTCAGTAGGAGCCGTGTGTTCCACTTGCTCCTGACTGTCCGCCTCCTGTGAAATTCAGCAAATGCCTTCTCTGCCAAAGAGGCAATATTTTCCTGGAGAGCCAGACGGCTTGACGGTAAGGTCCTGAAAAATCCACCTCTCAGATGTTAAAAAAAAGAAAACAGTTGACTATGAATCTCTTATACTCAAAAATCTAAAAAACAGAAATGAAGCCACGTCGGCTCCGCCAGGTGAAAGCCTTTCCCCGTCAGGATGGAGCAGAGGGTGTGACCGCGTGTCCTCGGTCAGAGGTGTAACTCACAGTCATCGTTGCATTGTTTCCGTGAGTTCAGTGCCACAGACACTAGCAGGCAAGGTGTTGATTTTCCTAATTTTTGTGTACAGTTAACTGCTGGGATCCCATCAGGGGGCTGACAGGAAATGCTTGCTGATGAGTTTTCTTCTGTGCTTTGTTTTTTGAAGAGAATATAAGTGCATTTTTAAAAAATCCCCTGGGGTTTGCTCCTAAGAGAAAAAGAAAAGTACGTTGAGATCTTCTATAGTAAAAGTCTAAATGTTTTTCCCTGGACTGATGGAAAACACCCACAGTTTAAGGAAGAATTTCCAAAACATTAAAAAGAGTGGTTTTTATACAATCGCGAGAATTTCCTGGAAGCGCCGTCGCCTCGTCTCCTCGCATGCTATCGTCTCCCGAGGCCCCGGAACAGTATGTAGCCTAAGCCTCTGCGGGCGTCTCTCCTGCGACGCACCGGGGGCCCGCGTGCGCGCCTGGTGGGAATGCGGACGGGTGCAGCCGCGACGGGAAACTGAGGAGGTTCCTCAAAAAATTGCCAATGGAACTGCCTTAAAGCACAGGGATTCCACTTCTGGGTGTTTATCCGGAGACTCTGAAAACCCTGCTTTGAAAGGACGTGTGCATCCCCGTCATTGCAGCATTTACAGCAGCCGAGATATGGAAGCAACCTGGGTGTCCATCGACCGACAAATGGATTAAAAACATGGCTCAGCCATAAAAAAAGAATGAAATCTGGCCATTTACAGCAACGTCGACGGACCTAGAGGGTGTTATGTGGAAAACACTGGCCGGGTCAGCCCTGGACCAAGGTGGGGCCTGCGGCCCCCAGGCAGAGCACCCTTGATCCTTGGTCCAGACGGGCTCACGGTGGCACGTTGTAGGTCTTCCTTAACTTCTTAGACTAATCCACCGTTCTGGTTGGGCTCTGAAATAGTTATTCATTATATCCATTCTTGAAAATAGGGGGACCTTTCAAATATCACGCCGGGGTTCCAGATGCGACGCCGGGAGGCCATCTCGCGGATCTCGTGGGGAANGAAAATAGGGGGACCTTTCAAATATCACGCCGGGGTTCCAGATGCGACGCCGGGAGGCCATCTCGCGGATCTCGTTTTGGACGCGTCGCTGACCGGTGTTCTGATTTCTGACAGTGAACCAGCGCCTTCTGCATTCGCTCTGTTTCACAGGTAACAAGTTCTGGGTGTTCAAGGACACGACGCTCCAGCCCGGCTACCCTCACGACCTGATCACCCTCGGGAGCGGAATCCCCCCTCACGGCATCGACTCGGCCATTTGGTGGGAGGACGTTGGGAAAACCTATTTCTTCAAGGGGAACAGGTCAGTGCGCTCGCGAGGGAAGCGGTCAGTGGCCTTTAGAGAGGCCGGTATTTCTAGTCTCCTGTGGCGCGTGTCCTGTTCACGAAAGAGTTGGTTGTGACGATACCCAGGCAGCAGTCCTTGAAATCTGGTTTCAGAGTGTTTTCCACATATTTTAAAATAATATTCAATATAAATCTTCCTCCCCTGTACCCAGCTAAGGCGACTTGCGAGTCTAGGTGTGTCGTCTGTATCCCACACGCTGAGAATTTGTCTTTACTGATTAAGAGCCTCTTCCTGCTTAAAAAACGGGTCGAGGCGCAGGGTTTAGATATTTGACGTGGAAATCGTGTCGCAAGCAGGGGCCCCGTGGGATCTCCTAACCCCTCAGATGCAGGACCGACGCGCTGGGCAGGTCCGCTCGGTCCAGTCGCACCCGCAGCACCGGCAGCGAGGCCAGGCGTGTTCGGGGCTCACCCGTGTGCCGAATGGATGAAAAGAATCAAGACCCTGCTTCCGATTATTCAAAAAAACGTGTTCTGCTGCCCGAGGAAGATTTTTAAAAAATGGAAACCTCTGACTTCCACGCGGGTCGAGGCCGCCCTTTCGAATTTCGGATGTATTTGGCATTGTTTACTAATTTTCGTAGACGGAATAAACGCACAATAACATCCCCCGTGTTCTCGCGTGCAGGAGAGGAAACGGGATGAACGCTTTGGTTCCCCTGTCCTCCCAGCGATTGAAACCAGCTCTGAAAACCGTGACGGGCTGTGCGGGGGGCAGGAGACAAGGGGGTGGCCGTCAGCGGCCGCGGTCGGCGTGCACCGTGTCCTTCCCCACACGTGTGTCGTCTCTTTGTGCTTCGTAGGTACTGGAGATACAGTGAGGAGATGAAGACCATGGACCCCGGCTACCCCAAGCCCATCACCGTCTGGAAGGGCATCCCCGACGCCCCGCAGGGAGCCTTCGTTCACAGGGAGCACGGTAGGCGCCCGGGCGTTGCAGACGCCCCCGGCTCGTTCCCCTGGGGCCCCTGGCCTCTCGCTGCTCGGGGCCGTTAGAAAGCGCCCGACGGGGCGACAGGGTCTTACCACGCAGGCGAATGTCCCTCCTCCATTGACGTTTAATAGTCTGTCCAGAAGGTTTTTTAACCTCAATTTATTTTAGTTTATACAAAAAAAAAAAAAAATGAAGGTAATTATTTTAAATGGAGGGTGTGAGTGCCTTTGAAGTAACGTCACCTGTTTTCTATTAAAATTCACGGGGAGATACTAGTAGCACGTCCGCGGGGCAGAGCTGGTCACGGAGACAATGCCTGAACCGGACGGCGCCCCAGCCCCTGAGCCGCACTGGCCGGGGCTCTAGAAAATGCAACTTTAGTTTAATATCCACTGTTAACACCTTTGTGTGTCATCTTGCCGATGGCAGCCCCGCGTCTAGCCCGTGAATTTCTCAAAATACGTTAATTTAGAGGCAAACGTTCTCCTGAAGTAGCCGCTCTCAGCAAGCGCAACAGCTACAGGATCACATCAAACCCGCGCGGAAAGGGGGAAACAGGCACGTAAACACCTTCCCAGCCAACGGACAGTTCACAGGGGGAGAAAAAGCCCTAAACTGGCGGAGGTGAATTGGGGGGG